ATTCCTGCTCTGGTTTTATGTTTTTGAAGTACCTTTCACAACCATAAGAACTAACAACTTTTTAAAATGAAAGGTAAAACTTTGAATAATATTTAAGAGGTTTTTCTTGACTTCTCCCTCTCAGCAACTGTCTTTCTTGCCAACAAATCAGTATACACAACACATTTTCACTGCTGTATTATAAAGAGACATTATTAGGACATAGAATAATAGAGCTGGAAGGGACCTCAAGATATGTAGTCGAAGGGCAGGTGGTTATTTTGGCTGGTGGGTCACTTAACGAGTTTGGATGAGCTATCAAGGCCCACATAAAATCTTTCAGAAGGTATCATTTTACAAATGGATACAAAAAATCATACTAAAATCAAATATCTACTATAACACATTTTAATTTTATTTCAAAATATAATTTTTGTCCTGATATATGGTTTTTTGAGTGGTGTATATGCAGCTGATTGCATAATAGCTCAAAATAAAGTCTTATTCTTGAATATTGTGTGGGGGTTTGTGTATGGAGGGGTGGAGATACGTATGTGGGGGTGGGGTAGGTGTGCACATGTGTGTAGGAGGCTGGCCATGCACTAGGTCCTGGGAGCTGGAGGGACAGGGGCAGGGGGCACGTGCAGCAGAGCTTGCCAGGGTGGTGCAGTGAGGTATAGATGTAGTCTGCCCCTACCCCTACCTAGCCCGGGGCTGCTCCCACAGTGCTCCGCATGGGAGCGAGCACTGCCCATTCCCACACAGGGTGGCCTGCACCATGTTCCCTCCTGCACCCACCAACAGCACCACCCAAGCCCTGGCCAGCATGTACAGTTTTCCAGTGGGGTTGCCTTCTACCCACTCAGCTGCCCTTAGGTGGCTGTCCATCACACCAGGGAGCTGAGTGAGTGGAAAGCATTAAGGCTGCGCGAAGCTTCAGGTGCTGATTCTATTTCGAGGAGATTTAGCCTGACTCAGCAGCTGAATCTCTAAATCTGAATCAAATCAGGAGACCAATAAAAAGGTCTAAATTGATTTGAAGCCTCCGAATCTATTCAGAAAAGATTCAGAGAAAGATTTGGAGATTTGGCAATTCAGGCTGTCCCCGCTCGCTGTCACAGGAGAGGGGAGGGGACCATAGGAGGACCTGTGCCCCACCCGGCCCCAGCATCCCAGCTCTTCAAAGAGAAAAAAAGCCCCACACTCTCTGGCTGCTGCAGCAGCCATCAGGGCTTCTGGGGGCTCATGGCAGAGCCCCAGCTTGCAGCACAGGGCAGAAGGATGCAGGAGAGATCACCCCCCCCACACCTGGCAGGAACCAGTGAGTGCGGGGCTTTTTAATTTTTTTTATTTAAAGAGCCAAGGCGCTGGGGCCAGGCAGGGCAGCCATTGAGGGGTGCTAGGAGAGCAGGCAGAGGATGAGGCCTGTTGGATTTGGAAATTCGGCCGATTAGGCAGTAGCCAGCACAGTGGGGCCATCCATGGGTACAGGGCCGACACAGGGTGGGTATTTTGCCCACCCCAATCTAGTCCAACACCCTGGCTTAGCCAGGAGGGGTCCAGTAGGGGAATCAGGGATCCGTCCTCTGACCTTGGTGTTACTAGCACTACACTCTAACCAACTGAGCTAATTGGCTGTTCAACAGGATACTATTGAAATCGGTGCCTTATTACAGGGAAACTACTGGTCAAAAGACAGAATGCATGAAGCCACAGGCATCATGCCTGGAAAAACACTTTCCCCAAGGCTGAAAGTTCTTTATCGTTTATATTGTTTTTATTTAATCATCTTAATGGAAGGCGCTTCAGTGGATATTCTCCTTCCTTTCTTAAAATCCTATATCCCATAAAAGTCTTTTAAAATTATCTCTTAGGTATAAGGTAGCAAGTTGAAAGGTACCTATCAACTTAGTACTTTATAGAATAAGCCAAGATGTCCAAAAATTATACAAATAAAAAAAAATAGTAATTAATTACTTTATTATCACACAATAAATGGGAAAAAAAACTGTTTATACTCACTCGAACAATATACTGGTAAATAATTACCAGGCTGACAGCCATGCAAATGTTGGCAAGGAATGAAAGTATAGATAGGCTCTTCAGATCACGAATGAAGACCAGAAGGATAATAAATGGGAGAAAACACAGCATGTATATTCGTAAATCAATACACCTTTTCTCAGAGAGACTTCTAATAACCGTGTCATTCATGGAACTTGTCCTATTCTCCAAAAATCCCTCGTGGACCTAGAGGAGGAAAAAAAAAATTAAATATTTTTAAAATATATTAAAAAGCATCTTTATTTCAATTCTAGACTGGCTTATTTTCATTCAACTTAAAACACATCTTTCCCAAGGAATTTAAGCCAAACTTAAAAAGTCAAGCAGATGAAATGAGTCCATAGAAATGCTTGCATAAAACCCTGTGTTACGGGTTTTAATCCATAACTGGTTTAAATTCAGACCTTCAGCTCAGCAAGTGCAACTGTCCATATAGATGAGCCCTACATGTTCTGTCATAATCACACAGTATTCACTTGCCATGTTATTCAAAAGACTGTGCATATAAAAATTTACATCTGTTGTTGTGCCTTAGAAAATATTTAACATGATCAAGGCTGATGATTTTTTTTTATGAAAATTTCACTACATGTTATATGTACACGGAGATCAAACACACTGGTTGGTTAAATCAGAAGGCATCTGCCTCAAAATGTCATTTCATTTTTTTTTTTTAAATGCTATAGTGTTTTTCCAGGAACAGATCCAGGATTTCCCAAAGAGGGTAGTGTGGAAGAGCCAACCACCCAGCACGGGGGCTGCACCCCCTACTCCCAGCCTCCTATACCCGCACAAGCAAGGACATACCAAGTCATAGGAGCCTTTGGGGACTTTCTGAAAGTCCCTAAAGCAGGTTAAAACCCCTCCTCCCTTCAGCTTCCTGATCAGAGGAACATTCCTCCCTTTCCCCCACTCTCTTCCACACCCCCTGCCAGCTGCTCTTGCTTTATCTGTGGTTTGAGGTGGGGAAGCTACAGTCAACCAGGCAGAGCAGGCACTGGACTCAGCTGGAAAGGGAACAGCAGCAACAGGACATCTGGAGAGTAGTTCCTTCCACCTTCCCCAGTCCCGGAGCAGGCACTGCCACTGTCCCGGTCTCTAGCTGAGCCCAGCCCCTGCACAGGAGGCAGGAATGGCTCTGGTGCTTCCCCACCCGCATAACACAGAAAGAGAGAATGGGGGGAAGGAGCAGAGACTGGGTATGCCTTCGAGCAGGAAGGAAGAAGGAGAGAGGATTTTTGCCTGCTTCAGGGACTTTAAAAAGTCCCCAGAGGTTCCCATGGTACACTCCAATCCAAAAGGGGAATAACAGCTGCATCACTGCCCCTCCTTGTATCCACTCCTGTACTTTTCCCTGTTAGAGTGCATGAACTTTTAATTTTTTCTATCACATCTGTCCATCCTAGACATCCAATATTGATGTTGTTAGTTTGTTTCCATTATAAAAAGCCCTAACATTATGTAAATTATAAAAAACAATGAATTCTCTATACAGAGATATAAGCAAAACTAGAAAGTTAATGGCCTGAAATAACAATTAAAGGCTTTCTAAAATGCAAGTGAGACAACAAGATTACTGTAATCAAGGACTAATCAACTTGCACAGTTATAGCTCAGGGGATGTACTATAATAGGTACAGACAAGTTGTGGCAAACATGCCACAAGTGGCACAGGCAGCCTTTGTGTGGCACTCAGTGGGTTGAGAAGAGGAGGGGACAGGGAGCCCAGCTAGATAGTGCAGGGAGCAGACAGCAGAGCAGATCAGGCAGAGGAAAGGGATTGGAGTGGCACTCAGAGGGGTATATAAATTTGTTGATAAAAAGGTTGGTCCTCACTGTACTAGGAAATAAAAGCTATTCTAGCCTCACAAAAAGATGCACTTACAATAATACATTATAAAACATACATTACGTTAATGTGTTGCATTATAAAACACATTAATCAGTTTGCAATGAAACTGCATGCAAAACTGGCATGTTTTAAATTTCTATGTAGTCCCATTAGTACAAACAAAACATTACAGTTAGAAATAGTCAGTGCACATTTTACAGTTTTTTTGGCTGGGAATT